AGATCCGCCTGCCTCTGCCTCCCGAGTGCTGGGATTAAAGGCGTGCGCCACCAACGCCCGGCCCTCAGTCTGTTTCTTTATGTTTCTCTAACAGCACTGATACTGAGCACCTTTTCATGTACACATTGGCCATTTGTGTATCATCTTTGGAGAAATGTCGAGTCCTTGCCTGTGTCCAGTTTTTGTTTGTTTTTGTTTTTGTTTTGTTTGTCAAGACAGGGTTTCTCTGCATAACAGCTCTGACTGTCCTGAACTTGCTTTGTAGACCACACTGGCCTTGAACTCACAGAGATTAACCTGTCTCTGCCTCCTGGAGTGCTGGGATTAAAGGATGGGCTACCATGCCCAGTCCTTTGTCCAGTTTTAAACTGTATTGGTTTTCTCAGCATAGAAAGTTCTTCATACATTGTAGAAAAGTCTCTTACCATATATTGCTTGCAGATAGTTTGCTCTATTTTTGTGTGTTGGCTTTATTGACAGTCTAAAAATAGTATTGCCTAATCTAAAGATATTGATGTTTTACATAAATTTCCTCTAGGGTTTCAGCTCTTATGTTTAGGTGTTTGATCTATGTGGAACATATTTTGTGTCAGGGGGATGAGATTAGAATCCTAAGCAATGATCTCCTCTTACATGTGAAGATCCAGTTCTCCCAGCACCATTTGTTATAAATACTCTTTCTCCCTTGGAATGAACTGATTGTAAACATAAAGAATTATTTCTGCCAGTTTTCTTCTATGGTTTCTATGATTCATGTTCCCCCAGAACCCCACTGCCTTGATTGTAAATGCACTGTATCCAGACTCTCTGTATTTTCCATCTTTATGTGGCCTATTACACTTTTTATTATTCTATTTCTTTTTTAAGGACTTTGTTTACCTTTTTCTCTCCCAAGCCTACATATATTTTAAACCCATTTAGAGGGTCTTTTTGTCTGAATCTGTCCTTACTCCTCATCTGTAACCTTTTCTGTCTGCATGAACAAAAAAAAAAAATTGCTGTGTAACTTAGATGGTGGTGTGCTGCTGCTGGCTCCTCCCACTCCGTTCCCCTAGTCTCGTGGTGGAGGCATGTTTACTGCCAGCTCTGGGAGCCATTTTCCCACCCCAACTCTGAGAAGACGCCACCAAGTAGCATGCTGTCAACTGCTCATAATCACCATGTAAGTGTTTGGTAGGAGGACCTCTTAAAAGAGCCACCTGTTTTTCCACAAACACTGAGCCAGAAAGCCATCTCTTAAAGGCGCCATGCCTCTGCTCACCCCCAGTAAACCGAGCCTACCAGAGAAAAGGTAACTACCAAGAAGCCATGCTTGACTTCATTCTTGTGTGTCTAGAATCTTTTTTTTTTTTTTTGGTTTTTTGAGACAGGGTTTCTTTGTGTAGTTTTGGTGCCTGTCCTGGATCTCGATCTGTAGACCAGTCTGGCTTCACACTCACAGAGATCCACCTGGCTCTGCCTCCTGAGTGCTGGGATTAAAGGCATGCACCACCACTGCCTGGCTAGAATCCTTTATTAAGCTTTGTCAGGTTTTATGTAAAAATTTCAGCCACATGTTCAAACACCATATGTAATTGGATGTCCATACCACCTGGCCCCAAATAATCAACTCAGAAGCAGAATATAAATTATAAATGCTTGGCCAATAGCTCAGGCTTATTACTAACTAGCTCTTATATTTTAAGTTAACACATATTCCTTATTTATACTCTGCTATGTGGCGGTACCTTTATTAGCATGGCACATTCATCTCCTGCTCCCTCTGCATCTGGTGGTTACTCCTCAGACTCTGCCCTTCTCCTTCCTGGCATTCTTAGTTTGGACACCACCCCCCTTTACTTCCTTCCTGGCTACTAGCCAATCAGTATGTTATTAAACCAATTTGAATTACAAATCTTTACAGTGTATAAGAGGATTATTCCACAGCATTTGATTATTGCTGCCTTGTAGTAAGTCTTCAGGTTTTAAAGTGTGAGTCTTCCTCCCTTGTCCTTCATTTTCAGGATTATTTGGGGTCTCTTTGCAAATGAATCTTACTATTAGCTTCTAGTTTACTCAAACAAGTTAGTATGGGTTTTGATAAATTGCATTGTATCTGTAGATCAGTTTGAGGGAGAACATCATGTTCACAATATTGAGTTTGGCGATGAATTTTGGACACAGTTTTATTATTTGAGTCTTTGAACATTTCCCTCTACCATGCTTGTCATTTTCAGAGTATAAGTGTTCCCATTTTGTTAAATGTATTCTAAAGTATTTTATTCTTCTAGATGTTATTATAATTGGAGTCACTTTTATTTGTTTATTAATTATATACAAAATGGAATTGGTGTTTATAAACAAGTTAGCAGTTTTGAAAGTTTGGAGCTTTTATTGTTAAATTCATACTTCTTTGCTAATCTCAAATTTACCATTACGTCATTTATGGCTTTTCTTACAGATACTGGGAAGTTAAGTACTAACAGGCTGCTGAAGGGTGTGAAGGATCTCAAAGGTAAGGGGCCACAGGACAAGGCATAGCATCTGGATTCTCCAGACTTCATGCCACCCAGTTATGGACTGGGACTCATACAGTTGTGATTCATGGAGCATGCATTTTATCTGCTGTTGCAGTGTAGTTTTTGTGACATGAAGTCTACTATATTTTTACATTTGTTCCCTTTTTCCTCTAAATAAAAAGAGCAAAACAAAGAGCTAGCTATCCATTATTGAAGTACATCATGGAGCCACAGAGGTAATAGTCCACAAACACAAAATGATCCTGCCTTCTGTGCTATGGAATAAAGTTGTGGTATCTGTGGTTTGCTTAGCTCAACTCTTTGATACTGTTTAAACATGTCAGTTTATCAATAAGAATAATTAAAACACATACCACATCTGGCTTTCCTGTTCTCTTGAGGCTTTTGAATGGACAGATTTATTTAGGACTTCAGCCTTATTGAAATGTAATATTACAAAACCATAAAATTTTAGAATTTTAAAATATCTTATTTTGTTTTAGAAGTGTTATTTAAGTTTAATGCTGAAAACAATGCCTTTTTTATGTTGCTATCATGTGACTTTTTTCAAATGATGTTTCACTGCCTCTTTTCTAAGTGGGGAAGATCAAAAAGGATAATCTCCATAGTTCTTTGGAAAATATGGGGTTCAAACTCTCAATGGAGGAATTTGCTGAAGTGACAGAAAACCTAGACACTGATGGTGAGCAATAAGATGAATTTAAATTATCTGTTGACTTTATCTCCTATATGATGAAATATTTAAAATTGTAATCAATATTGAATAGATATTGAAAAACTTAGAGGAGATCCCAATGTTAAGGTAAAAATACTCAATTTAAAATTAAAAAATAATAGTATATTTCTACAGGGATTACAAAAATTGCTGGGAGCTATCAGAATTAGTAAGACATTAGTGAGGGCTGGGCACACAATGCAGTGGTTCAGCGTTTACCTGGCATACATGAGGCCCTGCATTCAGTCCCCAGTACAAGGAAGAAGGGAAGGGGAGAGGGAGCAGAGAAAGAGAGGGGGAGAAGGGGAAGAGAAAGGAGGGGAAAAGGAAGGAAGGGGAGGGATGGAAGAAAGGAAGACAGGCAAGGAGAAAAGGAAGGAAGAAAACGTGACGAGGAGAGCGAGAAGTGTAGTGCTAGACTAGTCATAAGCAAGCCGGGCTGGAGTGTGCAGCCGGACTCCAGAACCGTGGGACCTCATCTTGTTTGTTCTGCTGCCCGGTCACTCTGCTGTCTGTCATTACTCCCTTCAGGCAGTGCACCACACAAGCTCAGCAGTGATCTAACTGTAAAGCCCTGTGCATGGTCAGTCTTTTTAGCTGTTCTGCTGTGTAGTTGGAAGTTTTCTTGTGTGCCAGCCGGCTGGTGGTCTGGACAAATCTCTCCCACTCACATCCCCCAAGTAAACACACAGAGGCTTATATTAATTATAACTGCTCACCCATTAGCTCAGACTTATTACTGACTAGCTCTTACATTTAAATTAACCCATAATTCTTATCCATGTTTAGCCACGTGGCTTTGTACCTTTTCTCAGTTCTACGTTGTCATCTTGCTTCCTGTGTCCGGCTGGTGACTCCTAACTTAGCCTTCCTCTTCCCAGAATTCTCCTTGTCTGCTTATCCCACCTATACTTCCTGCCTGGCTACTGGCCAATGAGCATTTTATTTATCAACCAATCAGAGCAACACATATTCACAGCATACAGAGCAACATTGCACAGCACTCTGAGGGATTCTTAGTTATTGAAAGTATCACCTTTGTTGCCTGCCTCACTTCTGGATGGTCTGCTCTGACCTCCATTCCTGTCTTGCTTTCTCTCTGTATGAACAATTTAGTCTTCAACACCCACTTGAAAGCTTAGATTCTCCCGATTACTTCATCAGGTCAATATTGATTGCTTTTTGTTTTTATTTATTTGTTTGTTTTGGGTTTTTGGGACATGATTTCTCTGTGTATCCCTGGCTGTCCTGTAACTCACTCTGTAGACCAGGTTGGCCTCGAACGCACAAAGATCCACCTGCCTCTGCCTCCCAAGTGCTGGGATTAAAGGCAAGGGCCACTACTGCCTGGCTGCTTTTTGATTTTTTAAATAACAATATCTTCTTTATAGAAATATTTTCATACATGCATATAACATATTCTGATTATATTCACTGCTCCATTATCCTCTCTCCATGTATGTGTATGTGTTCTAATTTCTGCCTAAAAAGACACATTTGTCTAAGTCTAGTTTATTTCACTTAGAGTGATTATCCCTAGTTCCATCCACTTTCCTATAAATGATGCACATTTGCTCTTTTGTCTGAATTAACACTTCACTGTGCATGTAAAACCACCTTTTCTTTATTCATTCATTGATTAACAGGCACCCAGACTGATTCCCTAACTTATCGGTGGTGACTAAATCCCACAGTAAACACTGTACAGATAGTTCTGCAGCACACTGACTTAGATTCCTTCTGGCGTATATCCAGAAGTCTGCCTGGGTCATGTGGCAGTTCTAGTTTTAGTTTCTTGAGAAACATCCATACTAACTTCCATGCCACCAACAGTTGGTAAGTGGTCCTTGTACATCCTTCCTCCACATCCTCACCAGCACTTGTTTTTGATTTCTTCATGATAACCATTCTGATTGAATGACATAAGAATCTCAATGATGATTTTGTTTGTGTTGCTCTGATGGCTAAGGATGCTGAACACTTTTGCATGTATCAGTGTGGTTTATGCCACTCTTCTTCCCGGAATTTCTGGTTTATGAAATGAGTGAGCAGGATCCCAAGGCTGGTAAATCAGTAGAGACAGCTCTCTGGGGAGACAGTTAAGTGTTACAACTCCAGTCTATTCCAGGAAGAAAGGGGAATATAAAGGCTGGGGACAGTGGCAGGAGTGTCACGTGACTTGTGTCAAGAGGCAGGGCTCCTAGTATGTGCCTCAAGGGAGCCTTCCAGCAGGGATCTGTGTCAGGGTTTGAGCTAAAGATAAGTCAGGCATCTGGCTTTAGAGACAGCTTTCAGTAAAGGTCAGTCCTCCAGGTCCAGGGACATTCTCCAGAGAAGGGCAGGTAAAGAGCAGGGAGCCTTACTGGGGAGGGAGGGAGTTCCATAGTGCCAAGCTTAGAGAAAAAGCTGGTAGTCTTATGGCAGACTGCGACCTCCACCAGCCACCGATGTATCCAACATATCAATTTACAGTTTGTGCTTCATCTGAGAACTGTCTGTTCGCTCATTTGCCCAACTACTAGTTGTTGATTTGCTCTTTTGTTGTTTGCTTTTTTTAACTCTTTATGCACTCAGGATGCAGATGAATAGCTGGCAATGGTCATCTTCATTCTGGAGGCTGCATCTTGATTCTGTTCATTGTTTCCTCCACTATGCAGAAGCTTTTTAATCCAATCAAATCCCACTTGTTGAGTTTGCTATTGCTCCCACAGCTTTCAGAGTCCAACTAAGAAAGTTGTGCCTAATGTCTATATCTTCAAGTGTTTCCCCCAGTAGTTTCAAATATTCAGATGTTATATTAGATTTTTGATCCATTTTGAGTTGGTTATTTTACAGGGAGAAAAGAAAGGATCTACTTTGTCTTCTCTATGGCTATCCAGTGCCCAGAACATTTGTCAAAGAGACTGTGATTTCTCCAGAGTATGGCTTTTTTTATACATTTGTCAGAATCGGGTGGCTGTGCCTGAGAGTTTGTTGGTGGGTCCTCTCTTCTATTCCATTGGTCTAAACATCTGTTTTTCTACCAGTAACTAGCTGCTTTGCTGCTATGGCTCTGTAGTGTAAATTAAAATGAGAAATTGTGGTAACTCTGGCATTGCTTTTTTTGCTCAGGATTACTTTGCCATTTGGGGGTCTTTTGTGTGTCCACATGGATTCTAGGATTATTACTCTATTTCTGTGAATAATGCCATTGGAATTTTGTGACAGTGATTAAATATGTAGGTTGCTTTCAGTGATGTAGTACTTTTCATACATAGACTTAGTTCCGCTCCTACATCAACACGAGAGGACTTTCCATCTTTGAGTATCTTCAATTTCTTCTTCATTGTTATGTGCTTTTATTGTAAAAATATTTCACCTCATTGGTGAAATTCCTCTGCATTTTAGGGAGATAGTAGATAGGGATGCTAGATAGAATCGTTTTCCTGCTTTTTTTTTTCTCAGAAATGTTTACTATTGGCTTATAAAAAAAAAAGTGCTTGTTTTTATGTGGTGGTTTTATATCCTGTACTTTGCTAAAAAGTGTTTCTCAGATCTAAGTGTCTTCTGGTGGCATGTTAGGGTCTAATTTAAGTTTAAGTTCTTAGCATCTTCCCGACCAAGTAATGGAGTCTTTCCCTTTCCTTTCCGTATTCCCTTTATTTCTTCTGTAGCCTCATTGCTATCTCTGCCCGGGTCAGGTCGACAGTTGGTGCTTATGTCCTCCCTACTATTTAAGTGGAAATGCCCCAGGGCTCAAGTGGGACTGGTGTGAACTGGAGCTGAGCAGTTCCACCCAGATGGGCTAGAAACTCATCCTAGCAGAGTACTGTGCATGAGGCTCTGGGCTTGATCTCCAAGACTTGAAATTAAGTTCCTAACTTATTCATTAAGTCATTAAAATGGAAATGATTATAAGGTGTTTTTAAAATTAGGCTATGGCACATGTATGGGGGTCAGAGGACAGCTTCCAGGAAGTCAGTTCTTTATGTTTACTGTGGGGGTCCTAGAGGTAGAACTGAAGTCATCGAGCTTGGTGGCGAGTGCCTTTACCTGCTGAGCCACCTCACTGGCCTCTGGTTACAGACGTTTAAAGGAGAATGAACAAGTTTCCAACAAATATTCCTTTTTGTTATTAAGAAATTCTTTTATTCATTTTACATACCAATCACAGATTCCCCTCTCTTCCTTCCTCCCATCCCCCCACCCCCCTCAACCCTCCTCCAACAAGGTAAGTTCTCCCATGGGGAGTCAGCAGAACCTGGTACATTCAGCTGAGGCAGGTCCAAGCTCCTCCTTCTGCACCAAGGCTGCGCAAAGTGTCCCACCATAAGTAGTGGGCTCCAAAAAGCCAGCTTATGCACCAGGGATGGATCTTGATCCTACTGCCAGGGGGCCCCTTAAGCAGATCAAGCTACACAACTGTCTTGCTTATGCAGAGGACCTAGTCCAGCCATGGAGGCTCCACAGCTCCAACAGATATTCTTAATAGGGCATAAATTCCTAAAGGTTCAAAAAGCTTAAGAAGTGTCAGAATTGCAATGGGAGTTAAATTAGCTAGACTTCATTATGTATGCATAATTTGTATTTTGTTTTCTGAGCTCATGCCGTTGATTGTGTGTTTCTGTTGAACATTTACAGCAAAGGGGAATGCTGATCTGCAGAAAGTGATGGAAAGAGTGAAAGCTGTCACAGGTGAGCACAAAGTCCTGCCACCTAAGTCTTGTATTGAGTCGATTCTTGTAATTACCATTGGCAGTAACTGCTGTGATACTGTTACTTTACTCTGTTTTATAAGCATCTGCCTAAATTGGACTTTAAAATTAGACTCTTGGTAGTAAAATTTTAGTGTTATATCTTGATGGAGATACTTATTTTCTAAAAATAATTTTGGTAGATGTTTTCTCTTGGTTAATACAATAAAGGTAAACAGAAATTATTGCTTAAAATATACATAATTGAAACCAAATATAGTGGCACATTTAAATTTTTTTTCTTTTTACTCTTTGGGGGCCTGCCACCCAGCTCCCAAATAAATACACGGAGACTTATTTTATCTTATGAATGCAAGGCCTTAGCTTGGCTTGTTTCTAGCCAGCTTTTCTAAATTAAATTAGCCTGTTTCTCTTCTACATTTTGCCTCTGGGCTTTTTCACCTTTCTTTTTCTATATGTCTTTCTTCCCTTCTTACTCCATGGCTGGCTGAGTGGTTGGATGGCTGGCCTCTTGTGTCCTCCTCTCTTTCTCCTTTTCTCACTCCTCCCTCTTCTCTCTTCTTCCAAGTCTGGGTTTCTCCTTCCAATTATTCTCTGTCTGCCAGATCTGCCTATCCTTTCTCCTGCCCAGCTATTGGCCACTCAGTTCTTTATTAGACCAATCAAATGTTTTAAACAGGCACAGTAACAGCTTTACAGAGTTAAACAAATGCAACATAAAAGAATGCAACACATCTTTGCATCATTAAACAAATATTCCACAGCATAACCAAATATAACACATCTTAAACTAATAGACCATGACACACATTCTTGTCATCTCAGTACTCAGGGAGGCAGAAGCAGGGGGATTGTAAGTTTGATACCAACTTGGACAACATAACAGGACCCTGTCTCAAAAATAAAATAAGACTTTAGTTCCCTAGCACTTCTGGTTTATGAAAGCAGATGGTTCCTCCTAACTAAAGGATAGACACTTTGTTCCTTTCCTGTAGACCATGCAGAAGCCTCATTTGGGGCAGACTGCCTTAAGAGACTCTTTCCTTTCTAGCTACTAGACATACAATCAGTGTGAGCTTCAACCCACTGGGAGAGTGGTAGCTCTGCTAAGGAGGGAAGTCATTATTCCTGGAAGAACTACAAGGCCTGGCCAGTACATACTGCTGTGAACTGGAACAGGTATAGGACAGGATCTTGAGAGTGCTATAGCAAAGTGCTGTGTGGCATGTAAGGGAGTTAGTTACTTAGTTACAAGGACATGCTCCTGTAACTCAGATTTGAATGTGTAGTGTGTGGTCAAATGTACTGCTAGGATGGCTCCTAGAAACTGGGCAAACAATGTTCCATGTTAAATTACTTAGAAATTACAGAAATACTTAGAGGTATATGGAGACAGAACAAAAATGTTAAGGAGTCTGTTACATAAGACTGGAAAGAGACATGATGGGCTCACTATATTGTGTTGACCGAGATAGCAAGACTGAACGGTTCCTCCCTCTAGTGTGAGGATCCCACTTCCTATCAGAGCCACGACTTTGGTGAGGGGACTTGGGACCACAGACTCTGCTATCTATGAAGTTCTCTTGTTGTTCTTGTCTTATCTCGATCCTGGCTTCAGCTTGGTTTCCTTAGCAAATAGGAAATGTGGACCCCTTTAGAGGTTGCCATTGAGGCTTTCCAGCTTTACTACACCAAGTTGCTAAGCATCAGCCTTCCAATGCTACATTTACAATTTCAATTTCCTCAAAGCTCTGAAAGCTATAAATGCATGTAGGCAAAGGAGTCTTGAGTCCCACAAGGGTTGTTATTGGGCATATCCAATAACAGGCTACAGGTGCTAAGTTTTACAAGCAAAACCACACTCAAACTGGCTTGCTCAAACTGATAACTAGGAAGTCTGTACAGAGCACAGGGATTACAGACTAATAAATGGCTATCTGATCTTTATCCACATGAGGATCCTATGGGTTAGTGAGGAGCCATGGGATGAAAGAAGTACAATCACTATAATAAAATAAAGAAGGAAGGGAGAAATTGGAACAGGAAAAGAAAGTAGTAATTATTTCATGCTGATGACATGCCAACTTGTACATAGATTCTTTTCCAATTTAAAATTTTCTTCTAATTTGATTGTAAGTTGAGCAAATTTTTAAAGCAAATTATTAAAAGATTGTCCTCTTTTGCTGCCCTAGTGGATCATTATGGCTTTTCTGTGACCTTCAATTGAGGCAATTCTTTTTTTTTTTTTTTTTTCCACTTATAAACTGTATGGCCGTGGCAGGCTTCTTGCTAACTGTTCTTTTATCTTAAATTAACCCATTTTTATAAATTTATACCTTGCCATGTGGCTGGTGGCTTCCCAGCGTCTTCACATGCTGCTTGTCCTGGCGGTGGCTGCAGTGTCTCTCCTTCAGCCTTCCGCTTCCCAGAATTCTCCTCTCTCCTTGTCCCACATACTTCCTGCCTGGTCACTGGCCATCAGTGTTTTATTTATATAGAATGATATCCACAGCATTTCCCCTTTTTTCTTTTTTTAAAAAGTAAGGTTTTAACTTTAACATAGTAAAATTACATATAACAAAACAATTATCGAGCAAGAATTACAGTTACAATATTAAAA